TTATGTAAAACCTGTTGGACTTGGATGATGCATACATCACCCCAATGGACCCTGTTTGGCAGCCTGTGACAAAACACAACTTCCATGTGATGTTGGTCTGGTTTGCCTAGCTTGAGATTGCTGTCTGAGTCACAAATCCAATGCCACAGCCAACAAGGGAAATCACCCCCAAAGGAAGCCAGTTGCCTGTGCATACAGGTGTTCCATGAGTATGGTAACTCCAGCCTCCCAAAACCCTCTCAGAGAGGTAGGTGCCAATCCATTTCAAGCTCTCTTTGGTCGAAGGTGATGTGCTATGACATACCCACTTAAATCTGCACTATGAGGGTTACAACTTACCTGGTAAAGGTGTGCAAAGAACCCTTGGGAGAGGTGCATTGCTCCCTCAGGATGAAACATGTAGATCTACTTGCTGGGGAGTGGGCCATGCCTGGCAATACGATCCCATTTGTGGTGGGTCTTTGTCTCCGTAAAGGCTCATTGATACAGTGCTTGAAAATCATTTAATACATTTATGTATACTAGTCTGATGGACTGACTTCAATTCTTTATCAGACCATGCAATTATTAACAGTGTGAGCCATGTGCACAAGACAACTTGGAAAGATTGGGATGTGCCAAAGTAGTATTAGAGATATACAAAGTTATGGAGCTCAGTTCATCATCCTCATTGTGGCAATACCAGAGGACTGAATCATGAATACTAAGTATACAATATGCATATTTCTTTGACAAAAAACATATTTGACCTTATAGAGATATGTCAATATTGCCATATGGCTAATAGCCAACAATATGTTAGGTGACAGTTGCACACTAGTTCTTTCCAATTTGTAGCTTTGCTGCCTTGTTTGAAGTTGTTTCACTATGTCTGACAGTTTTACTGGTTTGGTTAAATGAATACTGAAGTACACCACTTGCACAGTGGAAGACTTTCATGTCAGGGAATATGTGTAGGTAGTGCTTATTCAACCAGATAATGACAGTAATCAGCATCAATTGCCTTCATTCAACATTCTCAACTTAGTATGTCAGCACTTCCCTATGTCAGAGTTTGTAAGTCAACCTGGAATTTATGCTGAGGCTGGTGCACTCATATGAGCTCTGCATCAACCTTGGCTCATATTTTGGCGAAATAAAAGTGTGACCTGTGCAAGACTTTACTGTTTTGCTGGGATCAATTGCAAGTATGACTTCTATGCAACTGATATCTAGGTTATATGCATGGACTTATGACTGGATTTAAACACAACAATTATTAAACCTAAAATGTCTGGATAGTAGAATAAGTAGTCTAGACTCACTATGTGTTCTATGTGTTGTTACCTGGATCAAAATATCCCACTGGATACACTGGCAAGTATGATGCCACAAATACATTACTCACTTATTGAGAGCCAGCCTGAATCTTTGGTATATGACCATTGTGTGAATATAACTTTTGGGTAGATTTCCTGAAGGAAGGGCTGCATAATAAGTGTACTATGTGAAAGCATGGCAGAGCAAATAAACCTCAATGGGTAGTGAGGCAATCTATTGCCCATGGTGTGTGTGTGATAGTAGGTATCAGCAATACTAGAGCCATGAAAATAAGTCACAAGGCTTAGCAACCTTTGTCGGATGCTCATCCATGGACCTGATTCTCCTCCTCTCTTAGTCTGTGATTCCTTCATAGCATGTTACTGGCAACACAAATATATGTTTCTATACATAAATCAGTTCAGTGGGCATAGATGTTTGTAGCTCAGGATTTATATTGAGTAGACATTGCGAACAAATGAGGGCACATATAGATTTTCCAGGTTATGTTACAGCTAAAACTGCCAACTGATGACCTCAGGGATCTGGCACAGGCATGGTGATGACTATCCAATGAAGAGCAAGAACCTGGAAATGAGAATTTTGTGAACAACATCACAGTTCTTTCCTTTCATAGCAGCATGCAGTCTGCATAATTCTTGTAACCAGCCTAGACTTGATCTAATGTGTGGCACAACACTGCCAGAGCACTATGACCACCCATATGTAACTCATTGGTGCTCCATGAATTTTCTGTGGTGTTTGGGAATTCTTCTGAACCTACAAGGAGGTGATTTGACCTCAGAATGAACACCTTGCATATCTTTGACCACTTTCTCAGTGTCACATGGCCCCATGTCATAGAGTATGTGGTTTGTAAACAACAGTCACATCAATGCTTTTGGAGGTAATAATGTACATGTTCAAGCTCTATTTTGCACTTCATGCCCAACCTAGGGAGCTATGAAGGCTATGGAATAGAGGGCCAATGAAAGAAGAGCTATCACATAATCAAGATTACTACCTATGGTAGGTACCATTCCCAATTGGGAATTTAACACTGGGCAAGGCTTTATGGGCCCAGTAAATGCTATACAAATGGTGTAATTACAATCCCTGAGGTACAAAGGTATCGTTCTTATGATGGACCACCATGAAATGCCTTAGCAATTCCTCCGGAATGGCAGTTTGTTCCCACAGTGCACATGACATTCAGCCACCCAGATAAGCAGAGATATACTACTGTTAGTATGGGTTGCTTATCTGAGTCTGAAATTTCAGACTCCCAGACAACGCGACTTGGACCAACAGATACAAACAAATGCAGTGGCTAAGCACTCTGTTATGCATATGAGGCCCATGAAACACCTTAGCAGTTCCCCCAATAAGGAAACTGGTGAACATATCATGTGACTAGCAGCCTGGCAGCTCACTGCTGCAAGCACTCACACATTGGAGACCACTTGTAGTCACAGTTAGTAACAAATCATAGTCCACATAGTATGCTCATCTGATAGCCCTTCATTCAGAGAGTATACAGAAATTCTATTTAGTGTATACAGTGGCTGGCTAACCCAGGAAATGCAAAATAAAAAATGCACATGTGCCTTTGCAGATTTAAAGTGCCTGTTTATGACTCATGTGTACACTGTAATGTATATGTGTGGTTTGGACACTGTGGACTGTTCAGTAGCTTCTATAATATTGGTAATAAGGACTACAATGGGTAATCTGAGCATCTATTGCCATAGTATGGCTTTTGTATACAATGTAATAGCAACCATTGCAGCTCAGAGCAATCATACACTTGTATCTGATGTGTCTTTATATTTCATAGATTTTCTGCATTCTTCTGAGCCCTGCATGCCCCTGTTTGTGTTGGATTCTTCTTTGGGAAGGTCACATACTCCATATGGTAATTATCCAGCCACTGGCTTTCTGTTGCACATAGACACAGACTAGGTATACATATATGCATCTGTACTTACACTATCATCTTATGGGGATGTCCACTACATGAGTAGCTCCTAGAGTGGTGTAGCAGGCCTATATGAATAAACTCACTGAGGTAACAGCAACAATCCTACCAGGTTATTGTGAATGCTATGTTATCTGATGTCAAAAATGATGGCATAGACAGCTTCAATCACATTCCCTGGTCCATCTCCAATATTCTCTGATTTTTCCGCTTTTTCCTGGGTCTAAATAAGCCCATAGTAATAGTCCGCACTTACATCGCTTACTAAGCGCCAATGAAGTGCCCACATGCCGTTTGGAGGTGCATCCGTGCGGAAATTTGGCACGGTTGCACCTCCGAACGGCATGAGAGAGATGCCGAGCTGCTCTGATTGGTGCTACAGCCCCTTTTCTGCCCTAATCAGGCAGGCTGCCGAGGTTTTGGGCTGAGTTTGAATTCCAGCCACAGGCTCATTAGTGGCACTGTATCTCCTGCACTGTGACCTCAATAAAATGCGTAAAATCCCCCAAATATTCTACAAGATAGCACGACGGGCAAAGGCGAATATACCTGTTAGGGATGTGACAGGGAAACACGTCGGGCTCGGGCACCTGTCACTGTGACGGTCACTTGCCTTTCCCAGACCGTCACAGATTTCCCATCTTGTGCATTTCTCGCGCATATCCCGGTCCGGAGCGCGCTTACCCATCCCGCCCCAGGAAATGTCCGGGGTATGGTCTGGGATGTCAACATGTGACTGCCCTTTCACGGGGCGTGACATGTCCCGGCGCGCTTTCGTGGCCACTGACGCGTCCCGCCCTGGGATATGGTCAGGGATATTAGCATGTACCTGTCCCTTCCCGGGGCGGTATATGTCAATCAATATATAAGTTATCACGGACGACTTGCGTACCGCGCCGTTGTTTGCCGTGCACGCAAATGAGGTCGGCGCGCGATGTCTGCCAGCCTATTCGAAGGGCTCGTCGGCCACGACCAGCGGTGCGTCGCGCCGTTTCAGTCGACACAGCTCGGCACGACTGACCTAGCAGCGCAGAAAGCTCCCGCACCCAGAGCTTCCGTCGGCAGCTACTGTCAGGGGTTTGTAGCGAACACGTCGAGCCCGGGAGCCATGTAAGAGCTATGCAGAGCTTCTCGTCCGTTGAGCACCATCAATCGATTGTGACTCGGGCCCTGGGAGCTCTGCTCTAGCTCCGAAGCTGGATAGCACGGATTGCTACGCCTTCCGAGTCGTCCCACGCGGATCTCCGGAGCTTCGAAGTGAAGCCGGAGCGCACCGTCGGTAGCGGCCGGCAGGCCTCAGAGTTCCCGGGTTCAGCTGAGATCAGTACGGTGCGGTTCGGGGAGCTCCAAGAGCTCGAGGTTGAGAGATTGCAACAGACCTTAAAAACCTAGCGGGAGCGCTCTTGTACTCCGAAGTGCATTCACGAGGTGCCGGAGCATCACTACTAGGAGCTCAGTGTAACTATGCCAGTAGAGCTCCTGGAGCACTCGGAACGTCTCGCGTTGGGACCTTGCAGAGCTAGCGGGAGTTCCGTTGTAAGATCCGTCCGACCCTCCTGAGCTTTCGGGATGAGAAGAGCTCAGACTGAGCTCGCTGGTGCTCTCGTACGCCAATTGTGAGCCAAATAATCAATAAGTAAAATAACTGGGACGTGGATACAAGCAACATACTCCAGGCGTTGCCTATCACATAACGGAGATAGAGAGTAGCGTACGTGTATGTTCATCCTTTGAGGGTAAAATCGTAATTGGCATCAATGATCTGTAGGGACTGTAGAACGTGAATTTTGAGGGATTTTAGCCATCCCTCGTCATAGCAGTTGCGCCATAGGTGAGGCGGTGCAACACCATCTTCAACACGGGCTCCCTCTTCGACACGGAAACGAGGGGGGTTCCCACTCGTTGCACGAATGCCTACAGGCATTGCCCAATCCTCGCGGTACATGGTGTCCAGGGCCCGCATAAAAGTCTTGAATTCGAGGCTCTGCCAGCGTGCCTCCACAATTCGGAACTTCGCAGGGTGGGTTTTAACAGGGCCATCAGTTTCGTCGCCGCTCATGTGTACCGGGCGCAACTTCTTGAAGAGGGCTGCGTGTCTGAAGAGTTTGCGCACCGTGAGCGTCGCGGTGCGGCACTCGAGTAGCTTAAAAGATCATCAGTGCATGCACCTGTAGGCGGTGAACGGTTTATACTCACTGTTCGTCGACGACTATTCGCCGCCTTCCGCTTCTTGTAGAGTTGAGCATCTTCGAGACTCAATGGCTTCATGTGCGCTTTGTAGGTCTTCCGACGGTGCTCCATGTGCGTATCGTATACAGAGCTAACCATCAGTGGCGCTAGGAAGGTGTTCGGGATGGGCTTGTCCTTAAAATGGCCAGCACGGTGACAGGCAAGGAAGTTTTCCACGAAAATGCTCCTGGCCTCAGCATTGAAGGTACACAAAGGCGGCCGTGTGAAGTCGACGCGGAAGTTTTGTATGGTACATGTCACTTCACCTTCGTCATCCATGTAGCTTTGCATCTCCTCATCTGTGATTGGTGGATTCTTCTTGAGAACCTCTGCGACTGCTGTGACACCAAACAATGTGTCAAGATGCGTACGAACCCAGTGCTGCCGCAAACAGATCATCAGAGTACGGCCTCACAACACAAATGCGCAACGAACCTGAAGGTTCGTCAAGCCCGGTTTCAGCGCCGGATCTCGCAGTGCCGCCGGTTTCGTCATTTGACGACGATGCCGCCGCCGAGTCGGAAGTTGTGTGACCTTGTTATCGCTCGACTGGTCGTCTTCATTGGTTATCCGGCCTAGCTCTTCTTCGACCTCCATCTCATCGTTCTTGTCAGCGCACTTGCCTGTCTTCGCACTGGTCGTCTCGATTGCTGCTATTTGACTCCGAATGTCTCGCAATTCTGCAGTCAAGGCTGCCCTGCACATTGGTGAGTGAGAGCAACAAAATACGATCCTTCGGCTTACTGCGACTGGCGGTTCTCGTCAACGATCGACTGGAGTGATTTGTTCAGCTGCTTGAACTGCTGAAGCAGAAGGGCTGCGAATTGCGATGACATGAATCCCTGAAGATTATATACACATTCCGTCAGAACGTCGTTGATATGATGGAGATTAAGCTTACTGAGGGCCCCCCCGAAGGTTCGGCAGCAGGGAACACTGGGCTTGGTACCCGATACGCCTTCCCCTTCGTCGAGCTCTCGAAAAAGGGAGCATCACCCTCGCCAGGTTCCGTGGCAGTGTGATCTTCGGAAGGCAGTGTCCCTGTCAACAGTGGAAAAGACGTAGAATGTCGATTTGGAGTCGGATTTGATATGCGAGGTGATGCAGACAGTGGCTCTGACGTCCGAACGTGAGGAGATGCGGGTAGTGGGACAGAAAGTGGCAGACCAGGTTCAGTCGGCATGGGGACACGAGATGCAGGTGGATCTGGAAGTGAGCTAGCATGAGGCACCGGGTTGACCGACGTCGGGATATGGTGAGCCATCGATGATGCCACCTGAATGAGGGGTGCGGGTGTAGGGGTGCGATGAGACACAGATGACGCCCCCTGTGATACCGACATCCTGGCGCTCATTCCCGAGTGAGGTGCATCGGCGGCAGGCCGGTTTGCTTGTTGAGGTTCCGGGTGACGGTGGACAGGACGGTCACCCAGACTCTCCTCTGCAGCCTTCCGGAGTGGTCGAGCGGGTTGTTGTTGAAGCTGCAATGAAGATTGCCGGCGGAGAGCCTGGTCTGTAGCTGCCCCGTGAGGCCGGGCGACTTGTTTGCCAACGGAGAATGATGGTTCTTTCCCAATGAGCCGGGCCTGACTTGCTGTGAGCGGAGGAGGCGTGGTATGCTCACAGAAGATCAGTGAGATGAGACATGCGGAATCACGGAACTAGCATACCTTGTATTGATCCATGTCGATGTCCACATCAACAGTATTGGCATGGCTTGGTTGGTTGGTGCTAGAAGATTGAGGGAACTGGGATGACCGCACAGGTTGCGGATAGACGCGATGCTCTACGTTGGAAAAGACGTCGAGCTGTGCATGCGACGCCGATGGTGGAGCAGAGCCCGAGGCAATAGGAGTCCTGCCGCCTGCAGGAGAGACGACATGGGATGAAGCTTTGTCTGAGCCTGCTAGGGCCGTCTGACCCTGGGTGTAATACGGTGGCCGAGCAGGAGACGTACCTGTAACCTGAGGCACCCCGGGCAGAGCTGACTGCGAACCTTGCGGAGGCGTCGGAGTACGAGATGCATATGAAACAGCAGACAGGGCTGGGGACTGAGGCGAGACAGGTGTCGTATGAGTTGCCGGCACAGTCGGCCTAGGAACCGAACGCACAACCAGAGCAGAGGGCGCAGAGCGCGTTGGGCTTGGCCGGGTATTAGTGGGGATTTCGGGTGGACCAGGGTGCATTGACATATTCGGCATATTCGGGACAGGCGGCGTCGGAGTGCGAGATGCATGTTCGAGACGGGATGTAGACGGGACTGGGGACCTAGACGATACAGGCGGCATATGATTCGTCGGAACAGCTGGCCTAGGAACCGGACGAGTAACCAGAGTAGAGGGCGCAGAGGGCGTTGGGCTTAGACGTGTATTAATGGGAACGGGTGGACCGGGGTACGTTGGGTACATATTCGAGACAGGGGGGGCCTGATATACAACGACTTGACCTGTCGTGTATGTAGGAGCAGGCGCATTGCTCGGAGTGTCGTACTCGTACTCAGTGAAGTCCACGTCGTCCATTGGCAGGGAGTAGTTCGTGTATGAACTGACGGGTTCGTGTTGGGCAGCCACAGGAGGCGGGTGGCCCGAAGGTGTTGCGTATCGTATTGACGATGTACTCGCGTGTTGTGTACGAGGATACGCCTGTTGCGCATACGGAGCTGTGGGATCACCATATACGACAGGTGAGGGTGAGGCATGCGGCTGCCAAGAGGTCTGGCAGAGTGGCGGCCACAGCGGACACACCGTGTATTAGTGCGACTGGAATCAAACATCAGGCTGGTTGAGAAGACGCACCTGCGCATTTGGAACCAGAAGGTTTCCATTTGCTTGCATCATCAGCTGTAGGCGAGTGTCAAGGGCTGCGAGACCGGCCCGGCCTGCAGCTTCTACGGCGCGAGCTCGGGCAGCGAGTTGAATCCGAGCATTAGCCTCCGACATGCTGTCTACCATGTAGGTCTAAGGCATGGTCAGACATGATAGGAGCTGTGGCAGTTGGGTACGCACTTCCTGGGTTCCTACGTCTCGGAGCTCAAGTGGCAGAGCATTGCGACGCTGAGCATTCACCTGTATGAGTAACATTGCACGCTCAGCAGCCCACATTGAACTGACCTCATCGAGTCTACGAGTCTTTCCATCGTTGACGAAGTCGTGATGTCCTTGACCAAGTCCCCGTTTGCGTCCTGACAGCGCAGAGGTAACAGCGAAGCGATACGGTGCAGGCGCAGAGAAAGGAATGAATGAGTTTGGCTGAGAGGGATCAACCTCGGAAGGAACGACAGGTAGATCCATGGCGCTGTCCCGCAGCGCTGAGACGCAGAAGTGGTGTCTTGAGCTGCACAGCTCGAGGGGGGGAAGAAGGAAGTGGCGCCGCGCCTGCCATGAGGGTCAGTACGGACGCGTTCCTTTGTCCGATGTAGCGCCTGATCAGGTGACTGTATAGTTGGTCTCAGGTGACCTCAAGGGCTTGAGCCCGAGCACGTTCATCCAGCTGTGACTCTGAGAGCTGAGGCAATACGGAACCTGATATTCAAATATGCGTAGTCGAGTGGGTAGTATTGTACATTGTCAAGTAACACAGGAGCACGCAGAATCGAGACATCCGGCCGTGGCGGGAGTGTCTTCGTGACAATGCGTAATGAAGACCCGCAGCAAGATCTCACTGCTGACATGGACATGTATGAGCTGGGACAACGAAGAAATCAGGAATCTACACACCAACATCAACATACGGGAGTGCCATGTATTCTCACCCGATATAAGCACGTGGATGGCCCGCCCCAGTTGTTATGTATCTCGAGTACGAAGATAGCGAATGAGATGTTGGCCTCCAGGTATTGTTTGTCAATGGCGAAGGTTTGAACGGGATCATCGTTGTGGATGTCGTAGGTGAATGAAAGGAGGGGGGCGTACAAATGGCCTTTCGAGATGACAGGGTGACGATCCCGTGTGGCTCCGACCTGTGAGTCCAAGAGAAGCAGCGCCTCGTAAAGTGCGGTGTTGATTTTCCCGTCTATGATTCCCCAAAGTGTTAGATTTCGCGGCGCAGCACCAATGTCCGGCGCAATCGCAATCGGCAGGTGTTCAATGGTAACGTGCGACGGTCAAATGATTGCGGGCAAGACAACAGCGAGCTGAGCGGGGAGCGATTGAGTATTCCAGCACTTTCCGACTCGTACATCGTCGTCAAGTGCAATGCTTGGCTCGTCACAGTCCCAGCTGAACAGGTTGTTGCAGCCCGTAGTAAGGTCGGGCACAACGCGGGCCCCCGCCGCTTTGAGCGCGAAGTCGCGCTGACCGCGACTGGCTGATACATGCGCCCTGATTTGATCCTTAACGATATCTTCGATGGCTCGCTTTAGGACGGGCGAAAGCGCAGCAGGTGGGTCGGTAGCATGGGAGGTGGGTAGAAGGAGCGAGACGATCTGTTGCTGATAGCGAAAGAGGTCGTTACGGGCTCGTTGAGACATCTGGAGCAACACTGCAAGGAAGAGTAGCCCAACGGCAACGTGGAGTGTGGCCTGAGGGAATGTCGCGGACACAGAGTGCTTGGGAGAACGAGGGCGGGATGGCGAGACGTGCTCCGTCTGCTCAGATGATATAGAATTTGTCGAAGCGAATCGAACGAGCTTGTTAGCTAGACAACAATCTATCTTGAGACTGCAAAGACTGGGGTATTTTTGCAGAACTCACTATTTTCCTCTGGTGCCTGCCATGTCCTAGAGTCTTCGCGGTAGAGAAACCTGTTCGCGTCGTATGGTGACTGCTTCGCCTCACGCATACTATTGAAGGCGGTGGGGCGACAATAAGCCCGATCGGAAGTGAGAATGAATTGAAGAAGTGGACGCAGGATGGGTCGGAAGTGTTGGATGGCGAATCGTCAGTGGTGGGAGGGAACAATGTCGAGACTCGATCAAAGCGCTCAACACCTCTTCCGAGATCAAGGCGCTCGCTGCCTCCGCTCTTCGGATTTACGTTCGTCCTTCAAAGCTGCAACTGCGCTCCTCACCTTGGTGAAGTGTCTGTGCCATGCGGACGTGATATGCGTCCAACAAATCCAAATGACTAATTGTATCATATAAATCTACATAACCCATCGAGTGAGGAACACATTCGTCGCATACATCTGTCGCATAAATTCGTCGCATACATTTATCGCATACAATACAGCGACGCGAGACAAGCACGCCGCCGTGGGCTCAGTCATTCCGCGCGACTAAACAAGTGAGGCGAAGTTATTGACGAGGCCGCAGTGCAAGCATGAGACGGAGTCACTCACTCGCGACCATGCGCTTGGAGCCCCAGGATTTTCCAACCCACGAAGGGACTCGCAACTTCGGTGTCAACGTCAATTGTCGACCATCGTCGCGTACGTAACCCATTTCGATAGGTTCCCAGTAATCTTCTCCGTTCTCGCCAACGCAACGCAGCCAGATTTGGGTTTTGTCAGCGTAGAAGTGGATGAACAGGTCCCCGGTCTCGATGCCGCAGTTGTGGTGAAGGAGAGGAGGCGTTCGGATCGACTCTTCCGATTGAGTTTCGAACCATCCTGTGTACAACGTTCTAGCATCTTTGGCTGTATCTCTTATGGCTCGTGTCTTCCTCTGGAGTTTGATCTAGTAAAACAGTCAATAGTTGCACCATGTGGGATATCAGAAGCGCAAAGCATACTGGATCTCCGTCTGATGCTACAGTAGTAGCATCCGGCCGCGCAGGACGTTGTGCCGAGGCTGAGCGCGTAACACGTCTGGTCGACGGGGTCCGGGAAGCTGACCTTGTAGGACGAGACACTGATGTCAAGGCGGGACCCGTGGAGCGGGTTGTGGAGCGGGTTGCCTTCGGAGGAGGAAGGTTCGAGGATGGAGGCGCGGATGATCGGCCGGAGGACGGACGGGGATCGGGCGAGAAGGCTGCTGGGCGGGGCAGCGACATGCCTCGATCGGTCGGGGAGGATCGCCGTGCATCTCCAGATGCGTGCCTCGTTTGAGTGGGCTTCAACGACGATCGCCGTGGCTCCCGGGATTTCTCCTGCGCATCATTACACATGGTCCGTATCACAAAAGCGGCCCAAGGATCAGGTGCCGATGGAGGACTGCTTTGAGCGACGGAAGCGCGACCGCCGGGCCCCGCAGCTTCGCCGGTGTCATCAGTGTCACTTGTGGCAGGGTCTTCGCACTTGACCAAGTTGATACCGCCGTTGCTACAGATGATGTGAGTCCTATCACGGTAGTCTGGGTAGTGTGCTCACAATAGAGTGTTCGTCATTTCAAGGTCCTTGAAGGTTTTGAGAAAGGTCGGTTCAGTATCATTAGATGGGATGCGTGCTGCGAATGACAAGACGGTCGGGCCACGACGGCGAATCCTTGTCGAAGCGGAGAACGTATAATCCGGCTTCACGAGTGGTAGCTTCTCTCGGAGCCAGACAACGACTGTGCTGAGCATTAGAACTGTTGAAACCAAGATGCACCAGTACGAGAGCAATTCGGGCGACATCATGGCGGTCTGCGTCTTGAAAGAGGACAAAGAGACGTGCCGCGCCGCTCCGGCGATAAGTATTCAGAATACAAAGGATACCACAAATGGAAAGGTGAGCGGCGGACGACACAGTAGCTACGGCTATTACATAAGACTCTGATGACCTTCGTGCACATCCACGAGGACAGGAGTCAGCTGTTCGGCCCGAGCAATGACAATGTCGTAGAGCTCAAAAAGGTACATCAGAGCAAGAATGGCCGCGAAACAATATGTCAACCACTGGAGCACCCGAAACAACTGAACGGAGCAATGAACGGAGCAACTGTCAATAACGTACAAGGCAAATCGAAAGACTACTCACTTTGTTTTTGCCTGCGTGCTTATCACTTGAGGCACTGATGCTGTTACGATGATCTGCGCCGCCGCATCAGAGATGTGCGTCACCATCTCAGACGTCAGGTACCACTCACACACTTCTTGGGCCTTCCATACGACAACCGCAGGCGGACATCCACGCTCGGAGTTGCCGGTAGCAATGAGGAGCGTGTCACTAGAAGTAATGTAACAGGCCTGTTGCGCCGTTGCGATGACCGCGGCAAAGTGGAGGTATACAAATCAACGTACCGAGACCGCGCGAATACACGAAGGGCCTGAGAAGAAGGTCAGTAAGTAGAGGCCTCCATGACGGCAGGTACGCTGACCATCAAACGTGAGGTTTTGCTTCCGACGGGTGTGAATGTCCCAGATCGACATGCAGCCGTTCAAAGTGCCTCCCACAACTGCTTGCCCACCGTGAATGAAGCGAACGGGCATTGTGCAAGCCGTGCTATTATCTTGGTTGAACGAGCATAGAGGTTCCAGCTCAGTCAAGACCTTGAAATTGAATACTTCGAAACCAGTCAGCATGTTGGAAACAACCAGAAGTTGACCGTCGGCCGATAAATCGGCATCTGCACTACGGAGACGTGAGATGAATGTTACGAACAACCGCTGCTCAACGTAACTTACATGTAACCTGGGAATGCAACTGATCGAACACGCTTCCAATCACGTCCATCGATTATACTACGAAGATGTTAGTTCTCTCTGATAGGAATGAGAAGATTGTGACACGACCTTATGCCGTGATTCATGTAGGTTGCCACAAGAACACTAGGCCGCCGCCGTGTTGTAGTCCAATGCAGACTGGTGACGATCACGTCACGGGTAGCATTGAGAGAGGTCCTTGGAGGTGGTTCCACGTCGGCAACCTCAGTCCAGGTATCTTGCGTGTCTGAGAGAATCAAATGTACGCAACGATCACGGAAGTAGGGGAGACTGACAGCTAGTTGTACGCAACCAAACCTTCAATTCCTCGTGCGCACCGGACGCAAGGTGAGTACCATCGTATGCCAATGATTCCACGGGTTCCTCGTGAGCCCAAAATCCGGACACATTGATTGTATCCTTGGTATGCGACAAATAAGCAGATCATCCGCATTAGATCGCATAGTTCACCTTGGTCATTGTCAGTGATGCAATCGTGCCGTCCGCCATCCCGCAGACGATGTGACCGTCATTCGGCGGAGCCCAAATCATCGAAAGCACCGTGCTTTTTCCCGCGAACGCATACCGCATCGTACTGGAAGCAATATCCCAGACACAGACACAGCCATCGAGACTGCCTGAAGCCAAAGAAAGACCGCTCGGGCTAAAGGCGACTGCCGTCACCGCGTCAGAATGACCTCTCGGGTGTGCCAGCCGTAGAGATTGCTGATACTTGAGAGGCATTCCAGATAATCCCGCGACCACGAATACCGGCCGTACTTAAGTGAGGAGGAGGAGGAGGAGGAGATCTGATAGTACGGACCGACAACTACGGACTGGCAAGAACGAGCGCCTATATAATGAGCTACCTATATAATGAGCTACTCTCGAGCGCTCCGGCCCGCGCGTCCCCAGCGCGCTTCGAGAGTGTACCAATAGAGCTCTTGTTGAGCTACCACAGACAACTCCGCACCGCTAGACCATAGCTACATTGAATGACGGTCCAGCCGATGGATCTCTTTGTATGCATTGTCATGTGCACCGGGTCTGTGCCTCGCCCGCCGCTCAGTGAGTACCCCAAGAGCTTACCCGCCCTTCTTTATCTCTCGCGCCAGAGCTCCCGTCCGGCATTCACGCTCCTTCTCTCCACTCTTTCAGTCAGTGCAACGCACCATCGCCTCTGTTAGTATCACGCCAGCAAGCTCTGGCAGTCTAGCTGACAATGACTGTACGTTGTTCGTTGCGTCTTTCATTAATGTCTCGAGCTCACCGCTTGTCAGACTCTGCGCCTCGCTCAACATGCCCAGGTAGGGTCTAGCTCGTGCCATTGTTCGACGGCTGACTGTATTCGTCTAGGTTGGCATGCACATCAACTCTTCCGAGAGCCTGGTCCTCTTCGTGATGTCCGCGCGGCGTAACGCAGCAGTTGGTTTAGCTATCGAGGACCTCTCTTTGTCTCTCCCAACAGACCTCGAGTACCCCGTCGACGCTGTCAGACAGTGCCTACGACTCACTCCAAACGTGGAAAGCCTCATCCTTGACCTACCTTCATGGTCTCCGGCCTCTATTCTGTGTGGGCTTACGTTGCCGAAGATCCAACTTCTCTCGACCAACCTTCCCCACCAGTGCCTGTTGGCATTCTTGGCCAGCCATCGCTCGTTAAGGTCACTGGTTCTCCGCTACTGCGGGAACGGTTCGAACTGCCCACTTCGTCAGGTCGATTTGGCGCATGTCACCGAGCTGCAGTGCCCATCCCGCTGTCTTCCGGGCATCGCACGCGGTCGGGTCTCCCGTGCGACCGTCAACCTGACGCGCCTCGCCTCAAATGCGGTACTTGCGGTCCATGCATTATCAACATCTCCCCTATATTCCCTTTCCATCGACTTCTACGCTACCGACTACGACATGCTCCTACGGATTGCTGCCGCTGCGCCAAACCTGCGTAAGCTCAAGCTAGTCGAGAGATTTCGTCCGCAGGTGAGTCAGTTCACTAATTCAGTGACATTGTAACTAATACGTCGGCAGCGTCGAGGCCATCAGAGTCGTCGACCGTGGAACGACATGATCTCGTGGCATCAAGCACTACTTGGCCTTTCCTTCCTGGAAGAGTTCGCCCTGCGGTCGTTGGTGCGTGTCTTCACGTCTCGCCGCCCGGACGTCCAGGTCATATCGGGCTGGGCCAATGGCACGACTCGGCGATCCACACCGCATCCAACTCTTTATCACGTTGCTATCCTGCAACCATGTACACGCGGAGACACTCACCAGCTTATGGAGTGGTTCAAGGGTAGCTCGAAAGGACCATGGGAGCGCGTCGTGAACGTGGTGGGGCCAGACGTGCAGTTGTAGAGTGTCAGTGATTTGTCCTGTTATTGTTCCGTGAACGAGGTTATGTCCGTGAACGAGGTTATGTCCGTGAACGAGGTTATGTCCAGTTATTTCTGTCCTGTTATTGTTCTGTGAACGTTGTTCTGTGAACGAGGTTATGTGCAATGTGATTGGTTTATACTGGTACCCGCTGTCAGCGATCCAGTGACATGCAGCGAGATGCCAATTTAGTCGATCACCGTTTGTTCCTGCGGCACGGGGACCTTATGCTCACTTGACGATCGTACTAGTGTCGGAGTGGTACCCGTTACGCCACCAAAAGAAGATGAGCGCGAAGCGGGCCGTGTTCAACGCGGCTCGTCGATATCAGCCATTCAAGCCCACGGACCTCGTAAGGGCCTGGAGTACAAGGCAACAAAGTAATACAAGGGATCAAGGTACGCGGTAAGCCCTCCGTCTCTTTGTCTTGCAATTGATCCCCCGTTGATCTAGGCTGGACACGAAACACACCTTTGTGCCAACATAGCCTCGCCCTGCGACGAGTCTTGGTGTAACGAGAGGGCCGCGTAACGAGAGGGCCGCTGCAAACATTATGCGAGGTTATATAGGCTGTTTGGCAGCTGAGTCCGAGTCCCAGTCTACCACACCGAACCTCCCAGAATGACTTCCTCTCTCCTAGTGTCACCGTGCTCCGAATGCTTCCGAATTGACGACATTTACCTTGCGATCCTACAAGAGGCTTATGGCGACGGTGAGGGCAGGGCCACCGTCGCTCACCTTGCACTAACGAGCCGGATGCTTTCTGAGGGGGCTATCACGGTCTTGTGGCAACATCTAACCTCCCTCGTCCCTCTCCTCGGCCTGATTCCCGAGAACGTCTGGGAACGTGTCAAGATGCAGACCAGCTCGGAGGAGCGCGCATTGGTGAGCTCCCACCTGAGGTCATCTCTACATGCATCTGGTCTGACGGGTCTCTCTAGGCCTGGTGCGATGTACTCCAAAGCTCCTACATGCACAACTTCCTGCGACGTCGTGAGGGCATCCGCCGTCTCACCTGGGATCAGAACGACGACATCGGCTCGCCGCGCTTCGAGCTCAAGACCGCTTTGCTCGCCGACCTCCCTCCCGATTTCATCCTGTTTCCGCAACTTCGCACATATACTTGGACTGCGTCGGTCCACGTATACTCCCACCTGGGGACCATCCCGCAGCTCGTCGACTTGCGGCACTTCATACACGGCAGACTGCGCGATCTCGTTCTACGGCTACCAGCCACTAGCGCCCCTGCCATGAACACGCTTGCAATGGTGCGCAACGATGCAGTGCCGCTTCGCAGCTTGCGGATCATCGAGGACACCCCCGCGCTCTGGTACTGGTACCTTCCCGAGCAGGATGGACCTGAGAACAACGCGGTCAGTGCCGCCATCGCGGGCGTCATCCGCGAAAGCAACACTCTCCGCGTCTTCACTTGCACGCGTTCGGTTTCCGACCCTGTCTTTGCGGCCGCTCTGCACGCAAAGTCTCTCCGGGCGATCGAATTCACACTCAAGCTCACCTCCCACGATGACACCGCCGCTGCGCTGATTCCCCACTCGCCGGCCCTCGAGGTGCTCAGTCTTTCGATCCAGGACATGAACTCCACGGCCCCCGCCGTCCTCGCAGCCATCGGCACAGTCCCCTTACGTCGGCTCTCGCTCAATGTCATGTACCGCTCGTGCACTGACAGTGACTCCGATCGGCTCCAGGAGGCTCTCCAACGGCTCGCAGATGGCATATGCGCGCAGACCCTCGAAAGGGTGGATGTCTACGACATGCACGAGGCCGACGCCTCTTACGAACTGGATATCGCCTTCCACGAAGCGGGTATCGTCGTCGATTTTTATGGTGCGCAGATTGCGCGCGCACATACAGACTGTCTGTTAAGCTTGGCGACCCTCCGCCCACTCCTCCGTCTTTCCTCACTCACTCACCTTGGCGTCCATGCGGCCGCTCTCGCACTGACCTCTGCGGATCTCCTCGTGATGGTCAGGGCGTTGCCGCGCCTCAGCGTGCTGAGTCTCGCTGCCCGCATCCCGTTCTTCACGACCTCAGTGCCTGACCTTGGGGCTCTCCAATGGATCGCAGAACACTGCCCCTCGTTACGCGTGCTCTCGCTCGCTGTCGGGGTCGGTGACGCAATTCCGGCGCAACAGGCCGGATGGACGTCCTCGTCGCAGGTACAGACGCTGCGTATTGGATTGCCGAGAGGCCGCGGGGAGAACCCGGGTGTCAATGGGTATGTCACCGCGCTATTCCCGAACGCACAGGACTTGCAGTTCGCATACTATACACCCATGTATGATGTCTTGTAATATACTCTTATGACCGCGCTAGCAATCGTGTCTCGGATGCATATTTCCACGATGAGTACCTAGTACATCCGAAGCTAACGAGTCGTCTCGTAACTCATTGTATCCTCCTTCTATTCCTTCAGACAGCTTACTGATTCTCAAAGCCTTGCCAGTAAGGCAGGCCGCAGCAGTTGCGACGCAGCGCGCGATGCCAGTGTGTCAGGTGCCCTTGGTTCTGAACGGTCACGCGACTCAATACGACTGCCGCGGCTTTGTTCTCGTCTCTCTTTGTATTCATGGCGGCGTGCACCATGACTCTTCGATTTCTCCCTCCATCTCTCCAAGCATGTCGTCACACATTCCTTCTGCCGAATTGGGCCCAGAGACTCAAGAACCGCTACAACCTGATGCAAGCTCGGAGTCGCAGTAGGTCCATCCTCGGCTGAAGCTGCAGTGTTACGCCCCGCACATGTTGACTCGGTTACGCTCCGGACGTTACGCTCCGGACAGTGAGCTGCCTTCATTGTCCGATTGCATTGACAAGCTATGCACCATTCGACATCGCGGTCGCGTTGCTCGGAGGCGTTCCACGGTGTGCCCAAAGTGCTGGTTTCTCGCTGTCTCCGTACTCACAAGCTGGGGCAGGCCTCTTCCAGTTGCGCCGAGCGCGTTACAGACCTGGAGGAGGACTTTGCTGCCTTCAGAGATGAAGTCTTTGACAATTCCATGGCCATCAAGCACCTGCTGTGCAGGACGAATGGTACGCATGTCCGAGCCATCTCTCCGCATCACATTCCACTGACGACTATGCTGGCAATAGAGTCTGTCAAAAACCAGCGCCGCTCATCGGAATCGTCTGCGTCGCTCTGCGCCGACCGTGTAACCAGCCTACAATCTAAGGTGGTCTCTCTTAGACTTGAGGTCAACGTCCTGACCTCTCGTCAAGCCACCGATCGTGCGATTGTCGACAACCTTCTGGGAGATATCGCTACTCTGCACGAGTCGAATCAGAAGTTCGAGCGACGTCTGTGCTCGTTGAGTGACAGTGTTGACCGCCTGCAGCTGGAGAACAGCCACCTTGAGGGCATGCTATCTTCGTATACCTCTGGGCAATCAAGTCCTCGTTGCTGCCCTGCGACTGTCTCGCTCAATACTCACTCACTCGACATGGAGCTGAAGGCTGCCGGTAAGCTGAATTCTCGTATATAACAACGACCTCGCTTACACCACGATAGATGCGCTCCCGAAGACGCAGGGTTGGATATCTCTTGTGGCGGTAAGGATGTTCTATCTATCGACTCTACTCGTCTGGCTTAACTTTCAGGAATATATATTCGATCTTGCTTACACCACGACAGATGCGCTGCCGAGGGCGCAGGGTTGGATATCTCTTGTGGTGGTAAGGCCGTTCTGTCTATCAACCACAGTCGTCGTCTGACATGAGGCCGATTAACAGCAGAGCTACATCGACGCAACCTTACGTTGCACGGCACCACTGATGCTCGAATTATCTATCTTTCTGGTGTCATTTCTAATAACTCGAAGTTTCTCGATTGCCATCTCCTACGTTATGGTGCCCCAGCAGTACGAATATCCTGTGTGGGAGTCACTCAGAATGTAATCAGTACTATCATCTAGATCTACAGTGAGCTCGGACACGCCCATCGCCCAAGATAATACATGCTTGTTGCTGCGTCTGCCCCTCCAGATACGATGTCGTGTACACGGGGAGCAAGCCCGCAAACGGTGATAACGCGTGCGCACGCAGGACGGACGCGTGTAAGGAGTGACCTGAGCCTAGGGTTAGCAATCCATTGGACAGGACGTCATTTGTGCCTACGGAGACTTTCCCGCGAATGATCGACCGGACGGTGCTTGCGGCACCCACGGGATGGATGATCTCTCGCCGGTCGTTCGCGCTTGCCCGGCGTGAGGGGTCTGCAGTGGTGTTTGTCAGCGCGGTGCGTGCACTGGGCAGGCAGAGACGTGGGCTGGGGCAGGAGAATGGACGGGCGGTCTATTTCCGGCGAAAGCCGACGTCGCTGCGCGTGCGCATAGATTCCCAAGGACCTCTTGGGAGTCTTTGTGGGAGCGCGACACAATCGCGGGTGCAATGCTTGAGGCGGCGGCGGACGGGCGGATGGTGGATGGAAGAGAGCCCGGGGACACGGGGTGGCTTGTTTGGCGAGACGATGTTGCGGGATGAGCAAGGGGACGTGAGCGCGAGATGAATGGCATACCAGACGTGAGAGGCGGTGGAGGCGGACAAGACTGGCGATGTGGGCCGTGGCGTAACGACACGACGAAGGAGGCGGGATGGTGGAGCGAGGGGTGGCGCGAGGAGCGACGGGCACGGTGGCGGGGACACGGTGGCGGCGGGCGCGAGGTGGCAGAGATAAAGCGAGGAGGTGACGGGCGAGTGGGCAGGACGCGAGGCAGTCCTCCCGCTCGCCCGTTTCGTGGCGGGTGCGGGCGATGTTTATTTAAATTCCGTGCCAGCCATCTGTCGTTCAAATCGGAGAAAGATCTTGATCTTACGATCTCGATCGAGAACAAGGGAGCTTCGGGACAAAGGCGGCGGCCAGCCACCGCACTGTTTGACCTTGCGCTCTTCCTTACCGGATACAGATATCTCATCACCACATCTTTCGCAACGCCCGACAACGGCATGGCTTGCGGAAAGAAGAAGAAGCTCTGTCTTTGCACGGAGTGTGGGGGATTCACGCACGAAGTGAATGGAGTCAAGCATCCCGGCTTAATGCTAGATCCTAGGAAATGGAAAAGTCACGCAACGGAAGATGCTCTCCGTCAGGCCCAGACGGAGTACGAGATGAACGCAGTGCTTCTTGCGCACGAAGCGTTTGGACAGCCTACGGCTCGACACGAGTCGCTGCCGACGCGACCCAGGGATCACGGATTCTGGCCCTCGACCCCGCAACCTGCCTCTGCCGCCCAAAAGGAGACTGCGCACCAAGTACGTACTATGCTTTGATTGACAGTATATCAATACTCAGTACGCTCTAGGCCCCCCATGGGTCGGGCGCACACGATACCGATGGCGACATCCACATGGCGGAGGCCTCTTCTCCCATTCCGCCACTCTTGAGTGAGGACATAGAGATGGATTCCGAGACGCTGTGCTCTGACTCCTCAAACCGTGGTGTTGACGTGCGTGACCGCGTGTTCTGAAACCTCATTGTACGCTCATGCATCGAGTGACATCGTAGGATAACCTCATCCTGCGCCGACTTTCCGAACTGTCTCTCATTGAGTCGACGCTCACCATCGAATCTCGCCTCCTCAAGGATCCCAAACTATCATTTGTCTCTCCGCCTACCTCCCTCACGGACGCCCCATCTGCGTTGCTTCCGTCCTCTAAGGATGCCATGCGCTTCTCTCAATTTCGCGACTGGCTGTCAGCGAAGCAGCGTGTACTCCTCGCTCTACCTCCTCTAGGCCACCGCGACGCTGATTCGCGCAGAGCGAAACTCCTCAGCACGATCTCCGAGTGGCTCGGCAGACTAGCATCTGCAGAGGCGTCTTCGTGGGAGGCAGAGAAGATTATGGCAGGCTTGTACAGGCTGCCAGACCAGGAAACAATAGGTGCCCCGAGAGTGTACGACACTGGTGTGTTGCAGGCTCCTCAGATGATGTCTTACTTACCTCGCCCTGCAGCTGCGCTACATGCCGTGAAGCAGGCGTTACCCCCCTTCATTCTCGCTGCGCTACTCATGGTAAGCGCGTTGCATACTCTATCGGGACTCAACCGCGAAGCCGCGAACCTCGTTCTCGCAACTTTTCGTGCTCTACTTTATGGTGCATTCGTGATGTGTAGCCAGAGCAACACTCCTCGCGGTCCATCCCGCCTTACGATAGAGCATCAGGCCATCCTCGATTGCATCCCACGCGACATCAGATCGGTCATATCCCACTTGAAAGTTGAGCCTCATATCACGAAATACGCATCCTGTCCTGCTTGCTCATGTCTATATGCACCAAACGAAGCCATCCCTGACAACCCGTACCCCCGCTATTGCACGTTCACCGACACAGATCGACCTCCATGCGGCGCGGTGCTCGTAAAGAAGGAGGTTCGTGAATCAACGACCAGCCACTCACATGCTGTATGGTCCGCTCTCCGCCCATATCCGTACCGGACCGTCTCGTCCTGGATCGCCAGCTTATTTGCTCGTAAAGAGCTTGAGCAGGTGGTAGAGAGTGCGTGGGATCATTCTGTGGCACCAGGAGGTAGATGGACGGATATCCTACATTCACCAGCACTCCGATCGTTCCACGGACCTGACGGCCAGCCATTCTCTAAGCAGTCAGACCAGAACGTCAACCTCGTTTTTGGTCTTTACCTCGATTGGTTCAATCCAGGTGGCAACAAAAAAGCGGGCAAGTCCCGGTCTCTCGGCGCAATGTACCTCGTCTGTATCAATCTTCCTCCTCGCCTACGCTTCCGCCCGGAGAACATTTGTCTTGTCGGCATCATTCCCGGACCCAATGAGCCTTCCCTTCATCAGCTCAATCACTTTCTTCGCCCCCTCGTCGACGAGATGCTCACCCTGTGGCATTCCGGGCTGTGGCTGACTCAGACCGCTCGCCACGCTCATGGGCGACTTATCCGTGCTGCTATCATTCCACTCATCTGCGATCTACCCGCCCTTCGTAAGGCTGCTGGATTCGCAGGCCATTCGTCACGCCACTTCTGCTCGTTCTGTCTCCTCAAGCGTTCTCATATCAACAACATCTCGCGCCCGTGGCCATCACGTACCTGGCAGGAGCACTTAGATATTGCGAAGCAATGGCGCGATGCGGCGACCGAACACGATCGCGACACGCTTTTCGAAGAGCATGGTCTTCGGTGGTCGGAGCTTCTCCGCCTACCGTATTGGGATCCAACTCGCTACGCAGTCGTTGACGCTATGCATAACCTTTTCCTCGGCGAGCTCCGCCACCATTGCATGGCAGTCTGGGGTATTGATATCAAGGATCACAAGGACAAGCACGGGAGAACAACTGGTGCCAACACGACGCCGCATACACCCGAAGAACAGCAACAGCACCTTACCCGCCTCCTGAACGCACTTCGTAAAGGTACTGTTCAGGCAGTCATGCAACCCCGAAAGGGGTACCTCGTTGCATTAGCCCAGCTGAATGACATCTCTCCGGACAAACTAACAAAGCGCGAGTACGCCAAGGCGTTACTGCTATGGGTGCGTCATGCCCGGGCTTTCTGCGCTCTCCTTGCTGACCATGGATGAGCTCAGTGTGAAGCACATGGTATCGAGAGCCTTGCTGTACCCCCGGTCCTGTTGACTGCCACGGCTGACTTCCACCTGGCTAACGGCCCCTACGACATCTCTAAGTTCCGCGTCCTTACCGCTGATGTGATCGATCAGCTACGACATGACATCAAATCCGCCTACCTGCCCTCCTGGATCGAACGACCACCTGCGAACTTCGGCAGTGCTGCTCATGGCAAGCTCAAAGCAGACCATTGGCGAACTGTATGTACAATCAGCATGGTCATTACTCTCACGCGCATCTGGGGCAATGCAGCATCATCGAATGCAGAGCGTCTTCTGCTCGAGAACTTCGTCCATCTCGTCATTGCTGTTGATCTCGCTTCCCGCCGATCTATGGACCCTGAACGTGCCCGTTTATTCGACCAACATATGGAAGAGTACCTACGCACCCTGCGAGAAGTGTTCGATCAAGACCTTGTTCCTAACCATCACCTCTCCTTGCATCTGGCGGGCTGTCTCCTCTCGTTCGGCCCTGTCCACGGCTGGTGGGCATATCCATTCGAGCGCTTCAACGGCATCATCCAAAGGCTGAATACAAACAATCAAATCGGTACAATCACCATTTCTCGCGTTGTGAATAGTGCTCACCCTTGTATCTTCACAGACAAGATACCGCTGACGTACATGCGCATCTTCCACGCAGCGGCAGAGTTACGTTGGCAAGTTTCGTCAACGGAATGGCCAGATGATGAGGGAATCCGCGAAATGCTCCGCGCGTTTGATGTGGTCTATCGCGATGCGGCTCGGGGAACGCGCGCAATTGACATCCTTGATACGATACCCGACTCTTGCCCTGACATAGTCCTCGAGGCAACGTACTCCAGGCTCAGCGACTCTCGCTTGGACAGAAACACCTACAACGCTCTTCTCTACCTCATGAATACCGCAGGGCTTGTACGCAAATTTGCGGCCTACGACAGTAATGCTGACGATAACGCCGTTCTTTTATCACCTTTCGCGCGGTTCCTTCCGAAGCTCGAAGCGTCCGGTCTGATGTATGGCACGCGTTCGGGGAACATTAGGAATTCCTTCATTTGCTTCCGGGATCCATCGTCGCACGATCCGTCCGTTGTCCACGCAGGACAGATCGCACAGCTATTCCTGCACTCCCACATCAATCCCTCGTCGAATGAGCTCATGGTAGAGCCTTACATTGTTGTTGACCAATACGAAGAACTGTCTCAAGACCATGCGCGCCAGGACCCCTACCGCAGATTTCCGTTGCTGAGCACGAAGCTCTGCTACAATCGGTTCACGGGAAGAAGCGCGGTCGTACGCCTGGTCGATGTCATCGCGCATTTCGCCGCCT